TGTGTTGCGGGAGGCCTCCCAGCTGCAGCCAGAGGCAGCTTTTCACAGCCCAATGCCCAGCCCCAAACTTCAGATGATAACACCAGGGAACGTGAGTTTCCGGCGACTGTCCAAGATGGATCTCAGCAGAAGCCTAAGCAAGGGGAGCTGGGGACGCAGCTCTGGCAGTGCCCGGCTCTCCATAGGCCCAGGCAGCAACAGGAGGAGGGGGCTGAAGGAGGTCCTTCTGCAGAGCAATGGAGCTGAGGGTGCCATGTGGCTGGCAGCAGCCCAGAAGATTGCCAGCGGCAGCAGCCTGTCTGTGGGGGCACAGCCGGAGAAGGAGCAGCCACCGGAGCAGAGCCCTGATGAGCTGGCCCTGGCCCTGGACCCTCTGGAGCACGAATGGGTACTGACAGTGGCTCAGGGTGAGTCAGAGAGCATCCTGCGGCTGCTGGACATGGATGGGAGCCTGCTGAGCAGGAGGGATTTTGTAACGGGCTTCACAGCCCTCCACTGGCTGGCCAAGCACGGCCGCCATGAGGACCTGATCAAGGTGATTTCCCATGCACAAATGAAGGGCTACCCTGTGGACGTCAACATACCTGCAGCCAGTGGTGGCCTGACCCCCCTGCACCTAGCTGCCTTGCAGGGGCATGAGATGGTCATCAAGGTCTTGGTGGGTGCCTACGGAGCAGACACCAACCGGAGAGACCACAGCGGGCACAAGGCCTGGCAATACCTGAAAGCTGACTCCTCCCAGGAGCTGAAGGAGCTCGCGGGAGCTTTGGAGGAGGACCTGGCCCAACTAGGGGCATACAACACCAACAACAACTGCAAACCGTCCAAAGAGGGCTGTGCAGGGGCTGGGGACTGTGTGGACTCGGCGGCTGGCGGGGGAGGTCTGCTGTCCAGGCGATTGTCCTCCTTCCGGAGGTTGGTCAGGCAGGCATTTGCTTTCTTCCAGGAGCGTTAAGCTTTCCTTTGGGGCTAAGGCTCTGTGGGTTGTTGCCTGCAACCTCCGTCTAGATAGCAAACCCTGGGGAGGCAGGGACTGCCACTGAACCAGGGCTAGTCAGCAGCACCCAGGCTGGAGAGCTGGTGGCCTCTGCAAACCTGTGGCAGGCTAGAGCCTGCCCTCAGACCTGTGCATGTGCCTCCCCCATCTGCTCAGCCCCTTGGGGTTATGCACACATTGCCAGGGCAGGATTTGGCCCTGCAAGAGCTCTTTTGCCTGTGAGGGTCATTGCTCCCACAGCAGAACTTTCCTACCTTGAACAGAGGCCTCGCCAGCACCAGCCCTGCGGCCTTATGAGTTCCCACCCACCAGGCTCTCTGCACAGCACTGATTGCAACGGTTTGCCCTGGCGCCGGGGTGGGAGGGTGACTTATGAGCAGGCTCTTTGGCACTGATCCCATTCTGATTTCCTGCCTGCCCCCATGCTGTGAGTGAAGACAGTGGCCTGGGCACAGGCACGCCTTCCTTCTACAGAACCTCTCTGCTTGAAGTCACGAGCAGCGATGGTCACAGATGGACGGGAAGAGGAAGTGGGGGCTTGTGGTTAAAGCTGAGGGCAGAGTCCTGGGGATCCATTCTCAGCTCTGGAATAGACTCTGTGTGTAACCATGGACATGTCTCTGCATGTCTCTGTGCCTCAGTTTCCCCATCCATGAAACAATCCTCTGGCTCCCTGCTGGGCTGTGGGAAGACAGCAATTACTATTTGTCATGTACCTCCAGGCCTTTGAATGGAGGGTGCTGGCAAAGCATTATTAAATGTTTCACAACAGGCTGCTGAGAATGTGGCCTCTACATGGGGAAGCAGCAGCGGCTGTGCCTTGAGAGAGACAAATCCTCATGAAGGTTAAATATGGAGAAAAAACTCCATGGCTAAGGAGAGAGAGACTCCCAGAGCGAGGAGGGATGGGAGGGTCATGTGAGGGCAGTCACTCTCATGCAAAGGAGGAAAGGAAGGGAGCCAGGACAAACAGAGTCACTGGTGCCAGGGGAAAGGCAGCAGACCGGGAGGGTACCATGGCATTGCAGGAGGGAGGAGCAGTGGGAGGGTACCATGGCATAGGTGGGTACCATGGCATTGCAGGAGGGAGGAGCAGGTGAGGCATTGCCTGGATATGTGCAAAAGGTAGGAAGTAGATAAGGTTATCTGTAAGGAGCAGACTAGGGACAAGAAGCAGCTGCTGATATCTCGGTCTGAACGCCCTTAATTGCATCTGCAAGTGTATTAAAGGTTGAAGTCCTGGCTCACCTGTTTGAAGTGCAATCTATTTAGCTGGCATATGGCTCTTTGCCCAGTTTGATTTAAGTTACTTGCTGTGGCCACAAAAGCCGCGGCAGGATCAAAATATCCTCAGGTAAACATCCACCTCTTCCTCCCTGCCAGGCAGCACAGGGAGATCCTTCTGGTCTGATCCCTGGCTTTGTAGCCCTGCTCAGTGATACAACTGTAAAACTGCCTTGTGGGGGTCCTCAGGTCTCACGGATTTCTCTCCTGGATACAAGTGACAATGGTATTTTAGCTGGCCACTGAGAACACAAGGTTAGCCCTGGTCCCTTTGCTGATTGTGCAAGGCCACAGATCCTGCAGGCCAAAGGAGGTTCCTGTGCCCAGATCCTCAAAGGTATTTGTGTCCCTAATTCCAGGGGAGTTTACATGCCTAAGTGCTATGAGGATTTGGGTTTCTGTGATCCTCTTTGGGATCAGATTATGCTTTCACTTGCCCATGTCTGATAGAAACAACACTTGATCACTAAGGAGAGAGAGAATCTACATGACTCTCAGTTGTACTGGGACTGATTACCACTAAATTTAGCAGTTATAATACAACATATACCCTGGGAAGGGATCCATGTAGGTAATGCCTGATCTACAGAGTTTCAGGATTACTTTAACTATAATGATTTAGAAACAGATCTAGTATAAGGGAATGAATGCCACACTGACGTTGTTGCTGCATGCTAGCAGAGAATTGTTCACTTTAAGAGGGCTGCAGCAATTTCCCTAC